CAAATAGAAACTACAGAAGTAAGATCGCTCCTGGAATGCAGGTCTAGGATAGCAGGATAATGACACCATTGGATCTGCCTTCTAGTAAAATCGTCTTGGGGGGAGGTGGGTTGAGGTCAAGGCTAGAATCAGGGAGACCGTGGTGGTGTGAGAAGTGTTTACAGTTTTATCATGACAGTGGACATGAACAGAGGCACTGTAAAGGGCTCTCAGAAAGTACCTTCTACATTTGGCGGTTGGATTGGAGGGGACAGGGGGAGACAAGGAAGGTTCTAGATTTCTGGCCTGGATGCCTGAATGGATAAGGATGCTGTGTAAACTTTGATAGTGATTGTTGGAATAAGAGTACGTTTAAGGCCCAATAAAATTAAGTTTGAATTGTCAGTTTGAAGAGTATTTATTGGGGTGATGTTTTCCAGGGGGGTATGGGATATAAGGGCTTTGGAGTTCAGGAGAAAGACCAGCAGAGACAAAAAGAGAGAATTCCCAGTCACCAGGATATAGATGGCTATTGAAGCCATGGGCTTGGATGCCATTGCCTGGGGAAGATTTCATCATAATTTTTTAGATCAGTCTACCAGAAGACAGTGGGGAGGTCAACCTAAAGAAAGTCATCAGTCTAAGACATGCTTAGGGGATGTGTTAGGACGCCCCTTTTCCCAAAACGCCCCAAAAGAAGTAGAGCTGTAAAGGGGTTGGAGAACCATCTTCCAGAGTTTTCTGTGTTCCTTTCTGGCAGTGAGAAGTTGGGCACGTATTTGCCCTAACCCTCCTCCTAAGGAACGTTACCAGTCGCCCAAGTGTTTTCTTGAATTCCTCCCCATGGCAGATGTGCAGGAGAAATCATTTTGTTACTATTTTTGAAAGATGAGGATGTTTGGGGCACCGAACCTTCACCTTCAAAGGTGAGGATGCGAATGTCGCCCAAATACCAATAGCCTACTTTTCGTACGTGCTGAAGTGAAAATTAGGACGTTCAAGATAGAGATTCAGCTTGTGCAGGGTTCCCGCTGTTCCCAGGCGATTGTTTCCCGAGCTCACAGGGTGAACGAGGACTAGATGTAGGAATGTCTTTGAAACCCAGGGGCTAGGCAGCAAGCCAGACTGTGGGGCTTAATTCATTCCTTCCCGGGGTCCAGGTTTCTTCGGGCGCAAGCTGACCCCAAGGGCGCTGCCGTAGCCCATCTCCCGGGGCCACTGCAAACCTTTTTGTGCTCGTGACAGAAAAGATTGGCATGTGTGAGCCTTCCATGGCTCTGAAGCCTCCTTTTCTCTTTTCTTCCTGTTTAGGACTCCTCTCCCCCGAGCAGCATCTTTTCCCCAGCACGTACAGAAAGCCGTGTCTGTTGACCATTCCCCTTTGAAGTTTTGAGTTGCGCTAAAATATTTATAATGTATGGACAAACCCTTGCAAAGGGTTTTAGTTTCCACAAGCTATATCTCTTGACTAATTGGGGCTTTTTTAAAAAAAATGTTTGCTTATTTATTTTGAGAGAGAGAGAGCACAGGTGGGGGGAGGGCAGAGATAGAGAGAATTTCAAGCAGGCTCCCCGCTTGTCAGCACAGAGCTCAACGTGGGGCTCCATTTCTCAACTGTGAGATCATGACCTGAGCCAAAATCAGGAGTCAGACGCTTAAGTGACTGAGCCACCCAGGCTCCCCAGCTAACTGAGGCCTTTTGCTGATAAGCACCCGCATAGGGTTTCAGATCAAGGTGGCTTAATTTAGGGAACGCCTCTGACATCAGCCAGCAATTGTATCTCGTTGAAGAGTCGATCTCAGCTTTCCTCCGGAGGAGACAGCAGAGGTTCTTTGCTGCTTCTGGGTGTCTGTGGTCATGTGCATTGTACTGATAGAGGGCTTTGCTGCAGCACTCACGGCTGGTTTTGTTGACGCCTCTGGAACCAGGTGGGGAGCGCTGAAATTCCGTGGGTCCCATGTGTGTTGATTGGTCCTGGACTGGAGGTGGCAGCAAAGGGTCTTGGCATCCAGGAACCAGGAAGGTCCCCTGGACTGTGAACTTGCGGGAGACAGGAATTGTTTTCACGCATCCTGAGGTCCCCAACCTAGCGCAGGGCCTGGCCAACGGACGTTCTTTGTTAAATGTTAGACGTTGAACGGCAAAACAGCAGTGAGCTGAGTGAAGACGGTACTGCTTCAAGGGAGAGCAGTAAAAACCAAGAAGGGGGCAACTGGGTGGCTTAGTCTGTCAAGCTCGGGTCATGATCTCGCGGTTCATGAGATCGTGCCCCGCATCCGGCTCTGTGCTGACCTCGTGGAACCTGCCTGGGATTCTCTCTGTCCCTCCCCGCTCACGCACGCGCGCGCACACCCACACACACACACTCTCTCTCTCTCTCTCTCTCAAAATAAATATTGAAAAACAAAACAAAACAAGAAGAAAAGGAGAAAGGAACCCCCAGAAGCAGGCTTATGCCATTTCTGGAGCATGGATGTGACCCCCCGCCTGAGCTGCAGATGTCAGACTTAAATCTAGATTCTATAGGGATCTAGAAGTGCGGACAGGACCGGACTTCTATCTGCCTCCTCACTGTGACGCCTCTTCCTGATGATTGGATTAACACAAACGTTCTAAATCAGCCATTCGTTTGAGGCTTCCTGAAACCAAATAGTTTGGCATCTTGAAAGCATGAGCTATATGGGTTGCGGGTTGCTTTTGAATGCCCGTCTCTGATTTCTTACGCTGTCTCTGGTTACGTAGTAGAACGTGGGGATAAATAAATGACCTTGAAACAACAAAGGGATAAAATACGGCCTGGTCATTAAAAAATCACATTTTCAAATGACATGTATTGATAAGGGAAAATGCTCATTTTGTAATGTTGTATGAAAAAGCAGGAACCTGTGTCTGGGCACAGATGGAGGCTCAAATAAATTTCTTTTGAATAAATGACTATTGCCTAGATGAGCGAGGTGAAAACTGCAAAAAACCCCATGAGTCCATCGGTGAATATGACTCTTCGGCTCTGAAAAGCACGACCTAGGGTTTGAGGCGTCTGGGTGTAGTCCAAGCTACTAACCTTTTTGGAGCTCAGTTTCCTTATCTGAACACCGAAGTGACAGCCTGCTCCAGAATGGTCCCTGAGGGGTCCTTTAGCCCACGGGGGGTCCCGCATGCTCGGAGTTGTGATCTGACTCTGGACAGAGCAGCTGTCACCGGGAAGGATGCCACCAGGCAGGTCTCATATGGCTCGTAGCACTTTGTCAACCGGACTCGATCAACCTTGACCTCTTATTATTTCCCATCATTTTAGGTGACTGTCTTGAGTTTCTGCCTCCTGAGCCACCCCTTGCTGCTGCCGTGTAAAGGGGCCTCTTGATTTATTAATCAGTTAATCAGCGCCTGCTGAGGAGCTATTCAGGGTAGTTAAACAGGGAAAACAAAACGCTATAGCACGTAATCAAGACAGATCGTAATTAAGAACATCTCTCCCACCGCCGATCTTTCTTCCTGCCCACCCAGGC